GAGCGTTAAAATACTAGTACATTTAGATATTGATAACAATCTGATCACTTCAAAGATAACTTTATTTCTTACTGAACTAACGAATATTATTAGTTCACTATGACTTTTAAAAGTTTCGTTGAGGTAACCGAAATAAGGGTAAACTGGAATTATATCCCTATTCAAAGTAAATTTTCGACTACAAATGAAATGTATTATAAAAGTACTTGTTAAAGTTTACGCTCAGTAATTTCGAAAATTCTATATCACGATAATATTACTGGTAGAGAAATCGAAGTTCAGGGAGCAGAGAACATCTACATAAATTCGATGGATAACTGATAAGAGCTTGTTTTCTGTGGTTGTGTATCTGAAACCTTAAGACTCTCATTGGACAACAAGTCTTTAAATTGGTATGGTAGAATTTTGCAATGAGCTACGTAAAGACTAATTTCTTCCGATTCATAAAGAAAATTTTACAAGGCTCTTCGGGCCTACTACTTTTCATTTCAGATTTAAAGTTTGAAATAACAAAAGTAGATTATCGAAATTCACTATTTATCACTTGATAATCCTTTTCAATGATAGAGCTAACTACTAGTACGTGTGGTTTAGTAAAAATTGTTTACAAAACACTATAATGACTAATAAATTAATAACAAACTCAATAAAAAGCTCTCTATCTTCTTCTCGGAAACTTTAACTTTTAACGATGGTCATTTCCAAAGTTGATATTAGATAAAAATTATTCTATATTTCAAAGTAATTGATGTTGGAAATACGGACCACTGGATTCCGACACAGACGTTCGGCTAAATTGTGGTCCCTGAGAGTCATAATCATCTTGCGATTGAACCAGTATGAGTTGACAAGTGTTCACTTTTAATTAGACCCACAATAAAACGTGTTGGCTATTCGGTATTTATTTCCTAAAGTAAACCATAATATTAAGTAAGTTTTTACAAAATTTAAATCGGATGAATTTATTGTATCTCATTACATCCGTTTTAAATTAATGTAAACAAATAACTAAATTTAATAGTTAAATTCATGAGTTTATTGAAGTTAGACCACCATCGAAGACCTGGAAACACTCCTAGGCCATGTCGTCTTATTATGAGACTCCCCAGCAATGGGCATCCACGACCCCACCTCGCAAGATTCGAATCAAGGACCTATCGGTCCTGAACCACTAAGCCGACATCTAACAGTGTTAATATCTAACTTCAATCGATCCTAAATAACAATGGGAAGATACAAGTAAAACAACACCAAGTGAATAGAAACAAATTATGTTACAAAATTAGGAAATTTCATTCGTACACATTTTCTAAAATCTTCTTCAAAAACTGTAACATGGTAACAAAAAATTATCTTTGACAGCATTTCTCACTTTCAATCAAATAGTACAATAGTTACATTGTCAATATTTTTAGTCATAAACTTCTAATTAAAATCTTCAAATGTGTTTATTTTACTCATGTTGTCAACTGAAACGTAATAATTATAGGGCAAAATATACAACATTGATTCATACGTGTTAATCGATGTATTTCAAGGAATGAAGTAAAGTTATACCATATGGAAAGAATATATTTAACCCTATCCTTGTTCTGAACGACATCCTATTGATATATCCTGTTTATAGATTCTAAAAAAAGACGAAAACAAGAAAGAACTCTTTAAGCTCAATGATATGAATTTGTCTGATTCAGAGTCGTGTAGCCAGTATTTCATTATTGCATCTGATAATGATTGATATGTGTTATAAGTTGATTTAAATTTGGTCATATTAATCACTGAATTTTGAATCAGTAGGTTGAAGGCATCTTATTAAGATTTGTAAGATTTGATCTTCTGTAATGTGAAGTTCTGATGATTCCCAAAGTGGAATCCAGTAACTGATCAGTAACCTCTTATTTTCAACTATTCTTCAGTCAACGTTATTGTAAAAGTAAACTGGTCAGATTATTAGCGTTTTCTCACTAGTTTTAAACGTGCTAAACCAACAGTGATGATGATAATAACGATTATTATTATCTCCACTATTATTGCTAATGCTGTTTTCACCATTATTATTATTATTATTATTATTATTATTATTATTATTATTATTATTATTATTATCAAATAGACAATCGTGGTAATTCATATTTTACAAGTTAAAACTTTCTCGCGCATGAGACCGAAGGTCATGGGTTCAAATCCCGCATGCGGGATCGTGGGTGCGCACTGTTGAGGAGTCCCAGTGCTTCCATGTTTTCAATTGTGGTCTAGCTTACACTAAATCATGAATTCAACTATTAAACGCAGTACAATCTCCATAAACCACCCACTAATGAGAATGGAAACTATTAAAAACTGTATTATATAACTGGTTTCCAGTAAAGCTTAAAATGTTGTCATACTTCAGAAAAGTGTAATTAATGACTGAAATTAGTAGAATATTACACTCTCATCACTTTGTATTAAATATTATGGTGGGCATTTTGAGAAAGTGTCTGAAATAGTCCTAATAGTGATTTATATCTAACCTGCAGGTACTTTGTGTATTTAGGTGGAGGTGCTTAGCAAAATGTATAGGGAAATCTAGAAAAGTAAAGAACATGAGAAAAATTGAACTACTTACTCCATGAGTGAATTAAGATTTAATTGGTGAAAATAACCTGAAACAATTCGGGATAAAGCAAATATGAGATCGAATAGTTAAGAATAAAGTTGGTAGAATGAGACTTTGAATGAATTAGCATATATATATACATATGAATTAGCATATATATAGAAAGCAACATATATTGATTACATTATTTATATCTTCAACCAATTCATGAACCAAATCAAAACGAAAACTTAACTGAATCTAGAAAGATCAATATCATTGTCAAACAATAACAAAATTAAAATATATCTAGAAAAATATATATTTATACTCATTAAAAGTTTCCCAAAAGTTACTCATTCAGTACATCCATTATTGAACAAATCTCCAAAGACCTGAAACAAATAAATATTGGTTGAAGATAGATGGTAACACTGTTGGATTCCAGATCAGGTTAAGCGTTCGCGTGCGAGACCGATAGGTCCTGGGTTCAAATCTCACGAGGCAGAATCGTGGATGCGCACTGTTGAGGAGTCCCATACTAGTATGAAACGGCCTTGCAGTGCTTTCAGGTTCTCCATTGTGGTCTAGCTTCAATTGACTTATGAATTCAATTATTTAATATTATACAGTTTAATTTGTCTATTTCATTCAAATGAAATATTCTTCGTAATGAATAATAGGCAACCACTTTTTAAAGTATTCACTGAAGATAAACTGACCTATTTATATAGTTTCTTGTAATCAATTATCGAAGAACCCAACTATACAGATCTTAAATAGAACTTGGTTGACATGTAGAGTTAAACTTCTATTTAGCATGAGATTAATGTTATCCTCTATGCGAGAGAATGATGGTTTCACAATATTAAAATTTATCTAGGTTCAGGAATATGACTATTTGAAAGTCAATTAAGTGATTTAAATGTCAGGCACATGTTGTGAGATCTGACTAGCTTAGGTTCTAGTCCTGATTGAACAATGAGGATACCTTACTAAAGAGTCATATATTAGAAAAACATAATTATTCAGTGCTTTCTGATTTTCAATGATTGTTTAACTAAAATCAGTTCACATAATGTAAGCTATAGAAATCTAGATTTACTTTCTACGTAAAGATCTATGTAGATAAGGATTAATAAACAAAGAAGAATGTCTTAAAATCCTTTTTTCAAATGGTTACTTCAAGTATTCTTTCATTGGTATTATTCACTATGCAATAATAGTAATAAGTGAATATGATAAACGTGAAAATATGATTACAATAGGATAATCATTTAGTTAAGTTGAATGGGATTGGATTAATTCATTACTGTTCTGTCTATCAATCTATATCTGTTAGTCTCTCATTTTACCTGAATTTTTACCAATTTGATTGATTCTTTTCTAAACTGAAATGATATAGGCTAGCTAGTTGGTTACTTCTAATTATGGCCACGCAATTTAAGTAAAAAAAAATTTTGTCCAATACCAGTAATCATGAGCACAGATAGGTGATAATAATACTACACATGTAATCAAAAGTATACAGGCAAATTAAGTTCAATTCACTTTTAAGCTGATAGGTTACTCTGTTTTAAGAAAAAATTTTAGAAAAAAGTTTTTGTTTTTCTTTTCACCATTCATAACAAACAAACAACTATCATATACATTATTATTATTATTATATTCAAAGGGGGGTTTTTGTTTTCTTTACAAACTTGAGAGATCAATAATATTTATCAACACCTACGCAATATTATCCAACAACAACAAAAAAAAGAAAAAAAATATATAGAATCAACGACTATCTAATTTCTATAATATTCAATTCTACAGTGAAGGTTTCAAACGATGCATGTCTCCATACAATAATGCAAAATTTCAATCAGAAACAATATAAGGCAATTTGTGAAATACAATAATCATCATCAATAATAATTATTTAAGGCAGCAAGTATACTTTCGAATTTTTTCAACAACAAAAAAAACGCCTTATTTTTTGTTTTTGTATTTTCTATATTTGTATTCAACATATTAGTGGAATCATTTTTTATTATCTTTCTTCTTCTTCAATTGATAACCATATAACAGATTTATACAAATGATCAGTACAAGATCAATGAGAATATTGGACAAATATACATAGATCATTATCTACTTATATATATATATACTCAAGTTGCTATATCAATTAAATTTTCTATGAAAGAATTCATTTATATAATATGAAAGTTGATATCCACTATATGTTATTTGTTATAATATACAAAGTTTAAATTGATCTTCTATGGAGACATATTCCTTCACTTAATTTCAACGGAAATTTATCATCAATATTATGAACATTTTTTTGAACTTATGACGTAATCAATTTAAGAAAGTATAACATTATTATTTAGATTGGAAAATATCTCTATTTTAATAAATATCTATTTTTACTATGTCTACTGAATTGAATCCAATTGATATGAAACAATCATCACCAACAACTGATGAATCAATGAAAGTAGATCTAATAAAAATGGATGATAATTTAAAATCAAATATTACATGTGAATTATATGATACATTAATAGATCCAGAATGTAAAAAATCTAAATTATCTGATGTTTGGGAAACAAGTCATACACCTCCATTAGAATGTCAAGAATATGATACGTTAAAAGTTAAAAAAGATCTATACAAAGATATTACTACCAATGTAGATGTTGTTGTTGATGATGATGGCGATGGTGATAATTTGAAAAAATTCCGTGATACAGAAAAAACTGTATCATGTTATAGACATACAGATGATTATGAAATATATCATTCTAGTATTGAAAAAGATATTTGTACAGAATTGGATAATCCTATGTACATACCAATTAAATTACCATTGAGTAGTAATTTATATGTTCCAGTATATTATGTACAGTCGAGTGAAGAAACTTCACCTAAATTAAATAAACATAATTTGGATTTTAATGACTTAAATAATATCCATAAGGATTCTATTATTAATAATAATAATATCAAATCAAAGGTAAGTCATAAATATCGATTAAATTCTCATGATAACCTAAATAAACAAGATGAATCTCAACGACTAACTAGTGATTATCATATAAATATTAATAATCAGGGATATGAAAATTGTTTATCAAAATATGATACAACTAAGCCAGAACCTAATCCTTATGATTTAGAAATATGTAATGTACAGACAGAATTAAATGAACCATTAATGAAAACAAAATATTCAGAGAAATCAAAAACTAGTAAAGTGTTATTAAAACAAAAACTACATTTTATGAAGCCAAAATTAAAAATGAATATGAATAATAAAGAAAATGACATTGTTATACCGGATAGTCAGGGAAAAATGACTGATGAAAGTAATAGAATTGAAAAAAGACAAAAAATTGGTTGTTCACCAAAACTTAAATTTAAAAAACATGAACATCGAAATAGAAAGGAAACAGAAATTATGCAACAAAATGATAAACCTGTTGAAGGTGTTATCAGTGGAAAACAATACAAAATTCCTGATCAAGATTTAAAAAATCAACTTAATGAAAATCTATCAATTGAAACATCAGCAATAGAAAACAAAAATGTGACAAGAAAAATGAAAATGCTACATCGAAAGAAAAATGAAGTAAAGGAAAACGAAAAACAGATATCAAAAGGAGTACAAAACAAAGAAAGACGAATAACGGACAATAGAGAAACCAAAGAAAAAAGAACGGAAGATGAAAAACAGAAGAAACAAAATCAGAAGATAGAAACGAAGAAGCGAAAACGAATGATAAACCCATGCGTCAAATTTCATATGACAAAAGAAAATCAGCGAAAACAAATAAAGACAAGCACAGAAGTAAGAAAACGAGCAGCACATATTAAAGTAAAAACAGAAAAACCAGAAAAAGGAATAAAAAACGAGAAAAAAGACGTCGGGAGAAAAAAGCTCCATTGGTCACCGAATATCTCATTGCCAAAGTTGAAAGTGCATGGACCAGATTTGTCTGGAAAACTTCATGCAGATGCACCTGATGTGGATGTGAATGTGACTGGTCCATCTGTGGAGATGCCATCTCTGAAAGCCAGTGGTCATTTGCCTACTGTCGATGTGTCCGTTCCCGATGCATCGTTGGGAGGTGATCTATCCGGTAAGCTCGATTTGGAGGGTGTCGGTGTGGGAGTTGTGGACGCCGATTTGAATCTGCCAGACCTACAGATCTCAGGAAATGTGAGTGCACCGTCTGTCGAGGGAGACCTATCCATGCCAGATGTTTCCGCCAATCTGGACACAGATGTGAAACTGCCCAGTGTGCAACTGACTGGTCCAGATCTCCGTGTACATGGTGAGATGCCGGATGTGGATGTGGGTGCTAAGGTGGATGTGCCGAAACCACATATTTCAATCAAGACACCGAAATTCGGGTTCGATCTGGGCAAGAAGAAGACGAAAGTGAAGACTCCAAAGGCTGATGTGAAAGTGGAGGGTGGAGCAGGTGGGGATATAGATTTGGATGCCGGTTTCGACGCTCACTTAGATGGTAAAGCAAGAAAGGGAGGTAAGAAGTTCCATTGGTCTCCTAAGTTCGGGTTGCCGAAGGGTGGTCTGAAGATTGGTGGAGGTGCTGGTGTTGGAGTGCCGGACACCTCGGTGTCTGTCTCAGGTACGACTGGTGGTGTGGATGTGTCTCTTCCGAAACCCGAACTCGATGTCTCCATGGAGGTTCCCGACGTTGGTGTGTCCGCCTCTGTGCCCGAAATCGATGTATCAGGTGGTGAGTTGGGACTGACTGGGAAGGTTTCTGCACCCGGTGTGGATGTCAGTGTTCCGTCGAAGAAGAAGAAGAAGTTCACCTTCGGTTGGGGCTCGAAAGACAAGAAGGCGAAGAAGGTGAAGTTGCCCACAGTGTCGGGAGACGTGGATGCTAGTTTGGATGTGGGTGGAAAGGTTGATGTTCCCAGTGTGAAGGTTGATGTGGACTCAGGTGATCGAGTCAAAGGTAAGAAGTTCCACTGGTCTCCGAATATCTCATTGCCAAAGTTGAAAGTGCATGGACCAGATTTGTCTGGAAAACTTCATGCAGATGCACCTGATGTGGATGTGAATGTGACTGGTCCATCTGTGGAGATGCCATCTCTGAAAGCCAGTGGTCATTTGCCTACTGTCGATGTGTCCGTTCCCGATGCATCGTTGGGAGGTGATCTATCCGGTAAGCTCGATTTGGAGGGTGTCGGTGTGGGAGTTGTGGACGCCGATTTGAATCTGCCAGACCTACAGATCTCAGGAAATGTGAGTGCACCGTCTGTCGAGGGAGACCTATCCATGCCAGATGTTTCCGCCAATCTGGACACAGATGTGAAACTGCCCAGTGTGCAACTGACTGGTCCAGATCTCCGTGTACATGGTGAGATGCCGGATGTGGATGTGGGTGCTAAGGTGGATGTGCCGAAACCACATATTTCAATCAAGACACCGAAATTCGGGTTCGGTCTGGGCAAGAAGAAGACGAAAGTGAAGACTCCAAAGGCTGATGTGAAAGTGGAGGGTGGAGCAGGTGGGGATATAGATTTGGATGCCGGTTTCGACGCTCACTTAGATGGTAAAGCAAGAAAGGGAGGTAAGAAGTTCCATTGGTCTCCTAAGTTCGGGTTGCCGAAGGGTGGTCTGAAGATTGGTGGAGGTGCTGGTGTTGGAGTGCCGGACACCTCGGTGTCTGTCTCAGGTACGACTGGTGGTGTGGATGTGTCTCTTCCGAAACCCGAACTCGATGTCTCCATGGAGGTTCCCGACGTTGGTGTGTCCGCCTCTGTGCCCGAAATCGATGTATCAGGTGGTGAGTTGGGACTGACTGGGAAGGTTTCTGCACCCGGTGTGGATGTCAGTGTTCCGTCGAAGAAGAAGAAGTTCACCTTCGGTTGGGGCTCGAAAGACAAGAAGGCGAAGAAGGTGAAGTTGCCCACAGTGTCGGGAGACGTGGATGCTAGTTTGGATGTGGGTGGAAAGGTTGATGTTCCCAGTGTGAAGGTTGATGTGGACTCAGGTGATCGAGTCAAAGGTAAGAAGTTCCACTGGTCTCCGAATATCTCATTGCCAAAGTTGAAAGTGCATGGACCAGATTTGTCTGGAAAACTTCATGCAGATGCACCTGATGTGGATGTGAATGTGACTGGTCCATCTGTGGAGATGCCATCTCTGAAAGCCAGTGGTCATTTGCCTACTGTCGATGTGTCCGTTCCCGATGCATCGTTGGGAGGTGATCTATCCGGTAAGCTCGATTTGGAGGGTGTCGGTGTGGGAGTTGTGGACGCCGATTTGAATCTGCCAGACCTACAGATCTCAGGAAATGTGAGTGCACCGTCTGTCGAGGGAGACCTATCCATGCCAGATGTTTCCGCCAATCTGGACACAGATGTGAAACTGCCCAGTGTGCAACTGACTGGTCCAGATCTCCGTGTACATGGTGAGATGCCGGATGTGGATGTGGGTGCTAAGGTGGATGTGCCGAAACCACATATTTCAATCAAGACACCGAAATTCGGGTTCGATCTGGGCAAGAAGAAGACGAAAGTGAAGACTCCAAAGGCTGATGTGAAAGTGGAGGGTGGAGCAGGTGGGGATATAGATTTGGATGCCGGTTTCGACGCTCACTTAGATGGTAAAGCAAGAAAGGGAGGTAAGAAGTTCCATTGGTCTCCTAAGTTCGGGTTGCCGAAGGGTGGTCTGAAGATTGGTGGAGGTGCTGGTGTTGGAGTGCCGGACACCTCGGTGTCTGTCTCAGGTACGACTGGTGGTGTGGATGTGTCTCTTCCGAAACCCGAACTCGATGTCTCCATGGAGGTTCCCGACGTTGGTGTGTCCGCCTCTGTGCCCGAAATCGATGTATCAGGTGGTGAGTTGGGACTGACTGGGAAGGTTTCTGCACCCGGTGTGGATGTCAGTGTTCCGTCGAAGAAGAAGAAGAAGTTCACCTTCGGTTGGGGCTCGAAAGACAAGAAGGCGAAGAAGGTGAAGTTGCCCACAGTGTCGGGAGACGTGGATGCTAGTTTGGATGTGGGTGGAAAGGTTGATGTTCCCAGTGTGAAGGTTGATGTGGACTCAGGTGATCGAGTCAAAGGTAAGAAGTTCCACTGGTCTCCGAATATCTCATTGCCAAAGTTGAAAGTGCATGGACCAGATTTGTCTGGAAAACTTCATGCAGATGCACCTGATGTGGATGTGAATGTGACTGGTCCATCTGTGGAGATGCCATCTCTGAAAGCCAGTGGTCATTTGCCTACTGTCGATGTGTCCGTTCCCGATGCATCGTTGGGAGGTGATCTATCCGGTAAGCTCGATTTGGAGGGTGTCGGTGTGGGAGTTGTGGACGCCGATTTGAATCTGCCAGACCTACAGATCTCAGGAAATGTGAGTGCACCGTCTGTCGAGGGAGACCTATCCATGCCAGATGTTTCCGCCAATCTGGACACAGATGTGAAACTGCCCAGTGTGCAACTGACTGGTCCAGATCTCCGTGTACATGGTGAGATGCCGGATGTGGATGTGGGTGCTAAGGTGGATGTGCCGAAACCACATATTTCAATCAAGACACCGAAATTCGGGTTCGGTCTGGGCAAGAAGAAGACGAAAGTGAAGACTCCAAAGGCTGATGTGAAAGTGGAGGGTGGAGCAGGTGGGGATATAGATTTGGATGCCGGTTTCGACGCTCACTTAGATGGTAAAGCAAGAAAGGGAGGTAAGAAGTTCCATTGGTCTCCTAAGTTCGGGTTGCCGAAGGGTGGTCTGAAGATTGGTGGAGGTGCTGGTGTTGGAGTGCCGGACACCTCGGTGTCTGTCTCAGGTACGACTGGTGGTGTGGATGTGTCTCTTCCGAAACCCGAACTCGATGTCTCCATGGAGGTTCCCGACGTTGGTGTGTCCGCCTCTGTGCCCGAAATCGATGTATCAGGTGGTGAGTTGGGACTGACTGGGAAGGTTTCTGCACCCGGTGTGGATGTCAGTGTTCCGTCGAAGAAGAAGAAGAAGTTCACCTTCGGTTGGGGCTCGAAAGACAAGAAGGCGAAGAAGGTGAAGTTGCCCACAGTGTCGGGAGACGTGGATGCTAGTTTGGATGTGGGTGGAAAGGTTGATGTTCCCAGTGTGAAGGTTGATGTGGAGTCAGGTGATCGAGTCAAAGGTAAGAAGTTCCACTGGTCTCCGAATATCTCATTGCCAAAGTTGAAAGTGCATGGACCAGATTTGTCTGGAAAACTTCATGCAGATGCACCTGATGTGGATGTGAATGTGACTGGTCCATCTGTGGAGATGCCATCTCTGAAAGCCAGTGGTCATTTGCCTACTGTCGATGTGTCCGTTCCCGATGCATCGTTGGGAGGTGATCTATCCGGTAAGCTCGATTTGGAGGGTGTCGGTGTGGGAGTTGTGGACGCCGATTTGAATCTGCCAGACCTACAGATCTCAGGAAATGTGAGTGCACCGTCTGTCGAGGGAGACCTATCCATGCCAGATGTTTCCGCCAATCTGGACACAGATGTGAAACTGCCCAGTGTGCAACTGACTGGTCCAGATCTCCGTGTACATGGTGAGATGCCGGATGTGGATGTGGGTGCTAAGGTGGATGTGCCGAAACCACATATTTCAATCAAGACACCGAAATTCGGGTTCGATCTGGGCAAGAAGAAGACGAAAGTGAAGACTCCAAAGGCTGATGTGAAAGTGGAGGGTGGAGCAGGTGGGGATATAGATTTGGATGCCGGTTTCGGACGCTCACTTAGATGGTAAAGCAAGAAAGGGAGGTAAGAAGTTCCATTGGTCTCCTAAGTTCGGGTTGCCGAAGGGTGGTCTGAAGATTGGTGGAGGTGCTGGTGTTGGAGTGCCGGACACCTCGGTGTCTGTCTCAGGTACGACTGGTGGTGTGGATGTGTCTCTTCCGAAACCCGAACTCGATGTCTCCATGGAGGTTCCCGACGTTGGTGTGTCCGCCTCTGTGCCCGAAATCGATGTATCAGGTGGTGAGTTGGGACTGACTGGGAAGGTTTCTGCACCCGGTGTGGATGTCAGTGTTCCGTCGAAGAAGAAGAAGAAGTTCACCTTCGGTTGGGGCTCGAAAGACAAGAAGGCGAAGAAGGTGAAGTTGCCCACAGTGTCGGGAGACGTGGATGCTAGTTTGGATGTGGGTGGAAAGGTTGATGTTCCCAGTGTGAAGGTTGATGTGGACTCAGGTGATCGAGTCAAAGGTAAGAAGTTCCACTGGTCTCCGAATATCTCATTGCCAAAGTTGAAAGTGCATGGACCAGATTTGTCTGGAAAACTTCATGCAGATGCACCTGATGTGGATGTGAATGTGACTGGTCCATCTGTGGAGATGCCATCTCTGAAAGCCAGTGGTCATTTGCCTACTGTCGATGTGTCCGTTCCCGATGCATCGTTGGGAGGTGATCTATCCGGTAAGCTCGATTTGGAGGGTGTCGGTGTGGGAGTTGTGGACGCCGATTTGAATCTGCCAGACCTACAGATCTCAGGAAATGTGAGTGCACCGTCTGTCGAGGGAGACCTATCCATGCCAGATGTTTCCGCCAATCTGGACACAGATGTGAAACTGCCCAGTGTGCAACTGACTGGTCCAGATCTCCGTGTACATGGTGAGATGCCGGATGTGGATGTGGGTGCTAAGGTGGATGTGCCGAAACCACATATTTCAATCAAGACACCGAAATTCGGGTTCGGTCTGGGCAAGAAGAAGACGAAAGTGAAGACTCCAAAGGCTGATGTGAAAGTGGAGGGTGGAGCAGGTGGGGATATAGATTTGGATGCCGGTTTCGACGCTCACTTAGATGGTAAAGCAAGAAAGGGAGGTAAGAAGTTCCATTGGTCTCCTAAGTTCGGGTTGCCGAAGGGTGGTCTGAAGATTGGTGGAGGTGCTGGTGTTGGAGTGCCGGACACCTCGGTGTCTGTCTCAGGTACGACTGGTGGTGTGGATGTGTCTCTTCCGAAACCCGAACTCGATGTCTCCATGGAGGTTCCCGACGTTGGTGTGTCCGCCTCTGTGCCCGAAATCGATGTATCAGGTGGTGAGTTGGGACTGACTGGGAAGGTTTCTGCACCCGGTGTGGATGTCAGTGTTCCGTCGAAGAAGAAGAAGTTCACCTTCGGTTGGGGCTCGAAAGACAAGAAGGCGAAGAAGGTGAAGTTGCCCACAGTGTCGGGAGACGTGGATGCTAGTTTGGATGTGGGTGGAAAGGTTGATGTTCCCAGTGTGAAGGTTGATGTGGACTCAGGTGATCGAGTCAAAGGTAAGAAGTTCCACTGGTCTCCGAATATCTCATTGCCAAAGTTGAAAGTGCATGGACCAGATTTGTCTGGAAAACTTCATGCAGATGCACCTGATGTGGATGTGAATGTGACTGGTCCATCTGTGGAGATGCCATCTCTGAAAGCCAGTGGTCATTTGCCTACTGTCGATGTGTCCGTTCCCGATGCATCGTTGGGAGGTGATCTATCCGGTAAGCTCGATTTGGAGGGTGTCGGTGTGGGAGTTGTGGACGCCGATTTGAATCTGCCAGACCTACAGATCTCAGGAAATGTGAGTGCACCGTCTGTCGAGGGAGACCTATCCATGCCAGATGTTTCCGCCAATCTGGACACAGATGTGAAACTGCCCAGTGTGCAACTGACTGGTCCAGATCTCCGTGTACATGGTGAGATGCCGGATGTGGATGTGGGTGCTAAGGTGGATGTGCCGAAACCACATATTTCAATCAAGACACCGAAATTCGGGTTCGGTCTGGGCAAGAAGAAGACGAAAGTGAAGACTCCAAAGGCTGATGTGAAAGTGGAGGGTGGAGCAGGTGGGGATATAGATTTGGATGCCGGTTTGGACGCTCACTTAGATGGTAAAGCAAGAAAGGGAGGTAAGAAGTTCCATTGGTCTCCTAAGTTCGGGTTGCCGAAGGGTGGTCTGAAGATTGGTGGAGGTGCTGGTGTTGGAGTGCCGGACACCTCGGTGTCTGTCTCAGGTACGACTGGTGGTGTGGATGTGTCTCTTCCGAAACCCGAACTCGATGTCTCCATGGAGGTTCCCGACGTTGGTGTGTCCGCCTCTGTGCCCGAAATCGATGTATCAGGTGGTGAGTTGGGACTGACTGGGAAGGTTTCTGCACCCGGTGTGGATGTCAGTGTTCCGTCGAAGAAGAAGAAGTTCACCTTCGGTTGGGGCTCGAAAGACAAGAAGGCGAAGAAGGTGAAGTTGCCCACAGTGTCGGGAGACGTGGATGCTAGTTTGGATGTGGGTGGAAAGGTTGATGTTCCCAGTGTGAAGGTTGATGTGGATTCAGGTGATCGAGTCAAAGGTAAGAAGTTCCACTGGTCTCCGAATATCTCATTGCCAAAGTTGAAAGTGCATGGACCAGATTTGTCTGGAAAACTTCATGCAGATGCACCTGATGTGGATGTGAATGTGACTGGTCCATCTGTGGAGATGCCATCTCTGAAAGCCAGTGGTCATTTGCCTACTGTCGATGTGTCCGTTCCCGATGCATCGTTGGGAGGTGATCTATCCGGTAAGCTCGATTTGGAGGGTGTCGGTGTGGGAGTTGTGGACGCCGATTTGAATCTGCCAGACCTACAGATCTCAGGAAATGTGAGTGCACCGTCTGTCGAGGGAGACCTATCCATGCCAGATGTTTCCGCCAATCTGGACACAGATGTGAAACTGCCCAGTGTGCAACTGACTGGTCCAGATCTCCGTGTACATGGTGAGATGCCGGATGTGGATGTGGGTGCTAAGGTGGATGTGCCGAAACCACATATTTCAATCAAGACACCGAAATTCGGGTTCGGTCTGGGCAAGAAGAAGACGAAAGTGAAGACTCCAAAGGCTGATGTGAAAGTGGAGGGTGGAGCAGGTGGGGATATAGATTTGGATGCCGGTTTGGACGCTCACTTAGATGGTAAAGCAAGAAAGGGAGGTAAGAAGTTCCATTGGTCTCCTAAGTTCGGGTTGCCGAAGGGTGGTCTGAAGATTGGTGGAGGTGCTGGTGTTGGAGTGCCGGACACCTCGGTGTCTGTCTCAGGTACGACTGGTGGTGTGGATGTGTCTCTTCCGAAACCCGAACTCGATGTCTCCATGGAGGTTCCCGACGTTGGTGTGTCCGCCTCTGTGCCCGAAATCGATGTATCAGGTGGTGAGTTGGGACTGACTGGGAAGGTTTCTGCACCCGGTGTGGATGTCAGTGTTCCGTCGAAGAAGAAGAAGTTCACCTTCGGTTGGGGCTCGAAAGACAAGAAGGCGAAGAAGGTGAAGTTGCCCACAGTGTCGGGAGACGTGGATGCTAGTTTGGATGTGGGTGGAAAGGTTGATGTTCCCAGTGTGAAGGTTGATGTGGATTCAGGTGATCGAGTCAAAGGTAAGAAGTTCCACTGGTCTCCGAATATCTCATTGCCAAAGTTGAAAGTGCATGGACCAGATTTGTCTGGAAAACTTCATGCAGATGCACCTGATGTGGATGTGAATGTGACTGGTCCATCTGTGGAGATGCCATCTCTGAAAGCCAGTGGTCATTTGCCTACTGTCGATGTGTCCGTTCCCGATGCATCGTTGGGAGGTGATCTATCCGGTAAGCTCGATTTGGAGGGTGTCGGTGTGGGAGTTGTGGACGCCGATTTGAATCTGCCAGACCTACAGATCTCAGGAAATGTGAGTGCACCGTCTGTCGAGGGAGACCTATCCATGCCAGATGTTTCCGCCAATCTGGACACAGATGTGAAACTGCCCAGTGTGCAACTGACTGGTCCAGATCTCCGTGTACATGGTGAGATGCCGGATGTGGATGTGGGTGCTAAGGTGGATGTGCCGAAACCACATATTTCAATCAAGACACCGAAATTCGGGTTCGGTCTGGGCAAGAAGAAGACGAAAGTGAAGACTCCAAAGGCTGATGTGAAAGTGGAGGGTGGAGCAGGTGGGGATATAGATTTGGATGCCGGTTTGGACGCTCACTTAGATGGTAAAGCAAGAAAGGGAGGTAAGAAGTTCCATTGGTCTCCTAAGTTCGGGTTGCCGAAGGGTGGTCTGAAGATTGGTGGAGGTGCTGGTGTTGGAGTGCCGGACACCTCGGTGTCTGTCTCAGGTACGACTGGTGGTGTGGATGTGTCTCTTCCGAAACCCGAACTCGATGTCTCCATGGAGGTTCCCGACGTTGGTGTGTCCGCCTCTGTGCCCGAAATCGATGTATCAGGTGGTGAGTTGGGACTGACTGGGAAGGTTTCTGCACCCGGTGTGGATGTCAGTGTTCCGTCGAAGAAGAAGAAGTTCACCTTCGGTTGGGGCTCGAAAGACAAGAAGGCGAAGAAGGTGAAGTTGCCCACAGTGTCGGGAGACGTGGATGCTAGTTTGGATGTGGGTGGAAAGGTTGATGTTCCCAGTGTGAAGGTTGATGTGGATTCAGGTGATCGAGTCAAAGGTAAGAAGTTCCACTGGTCTCCGAATATCTCATTGCCAAAGTTGAAAGTGCATGGACCAGATTTGTCTGGAAAACTTCATGCAGATGCACCTGATGTGGATGTGAATGTGACTGGTCCATCTGTGGAGATGCCATCTCTGAAAGCCAGTGGTCATTTGCCTACTGTCGATGTGTCCGTTCCCGATGCATCGTTGGGAGGTGATCTATCCGGTAAGCTCGATTTGGAGGGTGTCGGTGTGGGAGTTGTGGACGCCGATTTGAATCTGCCAGACCTACAGATCTCAGGAAATGTGAGTGCACCGTCTGTCGAGGGAGACCTATCCATGCCAGATGTTTCCGCCAATCTGGACACAGATGTGAAACTGCCCAGTGTGCAACTGACTGGTCCAGATCTCCGTGTACATGGTGAGATGCCGGATGTGGATGTGGGTGCTAAGGTGGATGTGCCGAAACCACATATTTCAATCAAGACACCGAAATTCGGGTTCGGTCTGGGCAAGAAGAAGACGAAAGTGAAGACTCCAAAGGCTGATGTGAAAGTGGAGGGTGGAGCAGGTGGGGATATAGATTTGGATGCCGGTTTGGACGCTCACTTAGATGGTAAAGCAAGAAAGGGAGGTAAGAAGTTCCATTGGTCTCCTAAGTTCGGGTTGCCGAAGGGTGGTCTGAAGATTGGTGGAGGTGCTGGTGTTGGAGTGCCGGACACCTCGGTGTCTGTCTCAGGTACGACTGGTGGTGTGGATGTGTCTCTTCCGAAACCCGAACTCGATGTCTCCATGGAGGTTCCCGACGTTGGTGTGTCCGCCTCTGTGCCCGAAATCGATGTATCAGGTGGTGAGTTGGGACTGACTGGGAAGGTTTCTGCACCCGGTGTGGATGTCAGTGTTCCGTCGAAGAAGAAGAAGTTCACCTTCGGTTGGGGCTCGAAAGACAAGAAGGCGAAGAAGGTGAAGTTGCCCACAGTGTCGGGAGACGTGGATGCTAGTTTGGATGTGGGTGGAAAGGTTGATGTTCCCAGTGTGAAGGTTGATGTGGATTCAGGTGATCGAGTCAAAGGTAAGAAGTTCCACTGGTCTCCGAATATCTCATTGCCAAAGTTGAAAGTGCATGGACCAGATTTGTCTGGAAAACTTCATGCAGATGCACCTGATGTGGATGTGAATGTGACTGGTCCATCTGTGGAGATGCCATCTCTGAAAGCCAGTGGTCATTTGCCTACTGTCGATGTGTCCGTTCCCGATGCATCGTTGGGAGGTGATCTATCCGGTAAGCTCGATTTGGAGGGTGTCGGTGTGGGAGTTGTGGACGCCGATTTGAATCTGCCAGACCTACAGATCTCAGGAAATGTGAGTGCACCGTCTGTCGAGGGAGACCTATCCATGCCAGATGTTTCCGCCAATCTGGACACAGATGTGAAACTGCCCAGTGTGCAACTGACTGGTCCAGATCTCCGTGTACATGGTGAGATGCCGGATGTGGATGTGGGTGCTAAGGTGGATGTGCCGAAACCACATATTTCAATCAAGACACCGAAATTCGGGTTCGGTCTGGGCAAGAAGAAGACGAAAGTGAAGACTCCAAAGGCTGATGTGAAAGTGGAGGGTGGAGCAGGTGGGGATATAGATTTGGATGCCGGTTTCGACGCTCACTTAGATGGTAAAGCAAGAAAGGGAGGTAAGAAGTTCCATTGGTCTCCTAAGTTCGGGTTGCCGAAGGGTGGTCTGAAGATTGGTGGAGGTGCTGGTGTTGGAGTGCCGGACACCTCGGTGTCTGTCTCAGGTACGACTGGTGGTGTGGATGTGTCTCTTCCGAAACCCGAACTCGATGTCTCCATGGAGGTTCCCGACGTTGGTGTGTCCGCCTCTGTGCCCGAAATCGATGTATCAGGTGGTGAGTTGGGACTGACTGGGAAGGTTTCTGCACCCGGTGTGGATGTCAGTGTTCCGTCGAAGAAGAAGAAGTTCACCTTCGGTTGGGGCTCGAAAGACAAGAAGGCGAAGAAGGTGAAGTTGCCCACAGTGTCGGGAGACGTGGATGCTAGTTTGGATGTGGGTGGAAAGGTTGATGTTCCCAGTGTGAAGGTTGATGTGGACTCAGGTGATCGAGTCAAAGGTAAGAAGTTCCACTGGTCTCCGAATATCTCATTGCCAAAGTTGAAAGTGCATGGACCAGATTTGTCTGGAAAACTTCATGCAGATGCACCTTTTCCTAGTATTCATTTAATAGACTCTGTACCTAATATTCTTTCTTCTTCTACGGTTTCGTCTTCTGTTCCTTGTGTTGATGTTTCCCCTAGTTACGTTCTTTCTGATTCTTGCTTATCTCCCGAATTCGTGCAATCGTACGTGCGTGATTCTGTTTTGGTTGTTTCTGATTCTGGCATTATTTCCCCTGTGGTTAATTTCAGTCCTGTTGTCGTTTCTTCGCCTTCACCTTCTGATCCATTCGAATCTGTTGATTTCCTTCCCGTCGTTGAGGAACCTGTTATTTCACCATTTTCCTCACCTGAATTTTGTGAATCCAGTACTCTTCCTTCTCGAATTTCTCCTCGAAATGCTTTTCAAGATATAGATGAGAGCTTTTCATCTCCTGTTGATTCTGGTTTTAATGGTGACATTTCTAATGATGAGGCTGAAATTGATGAAATTTTTATTGTTCCCATTCAAACCGATCGTGTCCTACCGAGAGAGCAATATTTTACAGAATCACAGGACATTGTAGGTGCTGAAGCTGAAGAAGAATCGTATTCTCCTACTCAGAATTTGAATGCATCAAATGGGATAAAATCTGATGAAATTAAATTACACAGTCCATTTCATATTTTGAAATCAAAAAAACATGATAAAGATTCTGCTCATCGAGTAAAAGTCATCGATGCCAACGACCAAATCTCAACAAATACTGAAAAACTTAATGTTAATAATACTCTTTATAGCATCCCTGATGGTTCAGGACGTATTACAGTTGACAGCAAGTCTAAGAAAAAGGTGAAATCTCATCATAAGAAACCACACATATTCGGTGGTCAAATATCGACTGATGAAATTATTTCAGATACTCCCATGAAACTGGATCATCATGAAGACTACCACGACCTAATAGGAGTATCTGTTTCTGGTCATAATGCTGATCTTGCTTTAACTCCTCGGCGTTCTCCCAGTAAACTCAGAGATCCCTCTATTCGGAAAACGTGGCATGGTGCAAGAGAACCCTATTCTGACTTTGTAGGAAGTCTCAATTCAGACCAAGATGAATACACTTTAACCGAAGATGTTTCGGTTAGTTATCTACAACCAAGGTCAACCACAAAATCTTCAAATAACAATTCATTAAACGCTTCTGACTTTCTTCGACGTAGTATAGGAAATTCAACAAAACGCCGCCCTTGGAGCACTTTAGAATATCCACCACCTGGGTGTCATTTTGTAGACGATGATTACATGTTTCCAGATGCTTTAACACCGACTAAAATTCCAAGTTTTCAAGCAAGCAAGGAAATAGTTTATGATGTTCCATATATCGACGATAAAGCCATTCCACGTTATGAACCTGAATGGCCTATAGGTGAATCAAGAAGAACTTTGATATCTCAACTCTCGCAGAATAGTGGCAGTATTGTTCGAATGACAGCTGAGGAAGAAAGCAGTCTTATATCACTTGGTAAGTTAAAAATTGAAATTATGTTGTTCTTTTTTTAATTTTAATGCTTTGATAAAGATTTTCATTTGATGATAATGAAATTATTTTAACCGGCTTACATAAGATTACGTTCTACTTCTTGAACTATATAAGGATTAAAACTCTTAGGATTTTAGAAAAGGTAATTTCAATAAATAGATAAATTAAAAGGTGTTCAAGCGGAATATTGCTTAGAAACAGTAGTCAATCTCCCTTACAGATCTTTTCTCAGCTGTAGTCTCTTCAACTTTAAGTCTCATACCAAATTATGAAGAAATGAAGAAAATAGGATTAGCTATTATTATTATTATTATTATTATTATTATTATTATTATTATTATTATTATTATTATTAATAGTATCACAATTGTGTCAGTTACGGATAGATTTTACAGTGAGTTGAAGATGTTTAGAGAACTGATGGGATTTAGAAAGCACAAGATAGGTGTCTCCTTTTAATTTATCTTAGTAGTATACATCTCCAAACTTATGAGGGATCATGTCCAACGTCGCTAGTTACCATAGCATACATGATACTTAGTTAGAAGTCGATGAATTCTGTTGACTATTTCAATTATTTAATGATATAGACTGATCTTAATCAGATATGATGAAATGATCGCCAAATTATACAGATTTTTCATAAAATCACTTAATTTACGCATCAATACTAGTAGATCTCAGTTATACCAATTCATAAATCAATTGAAGTTGACAATGTTGTTAACTGGTTCCTAATTTAAAAGTTCAAATAAATTGTGCTAGTCATAGTGCTGGAAGATCTTACTTCAATTAAAAGAAATGTCACAATATATAGATTTTTAAATTTGTATAAGTTTACATAGATAAATGAGTTATTTCCATCACATCATTCAGTATGTTCCAAGATGATTTACTATTTACTAAAGTAATAATTCCTTTACAATAGGTAAAGCGCTGTGATTTTATTCAACTAATAATACTTAGATGGTTATTGGTTCTGTTTGAATGTTGTTTCATAATCATATAATTTGATAATATTTTACTAACGGTTGAATATTTTTTTACTCCAACAATAATGAGTTCACTGGTTGAAATCATGAGTCAGTTGAAGCTAGACCACCATGGAAAACCTGGAAACACTGGACGGCCGTTTCGTCCCAGTGTGGAACTCCTCAGCAGTGCGCATCCACGACCCAGGACCTACCACTCCCGCGCCAGGCGCTTAACCATCTAGACCACTGAGCCAGCATCCAATGGTGTTAATGTCTAACTTCAACCAATCCACGAAGTTGCGCCACCGTGCATCATTGTCTTCAGTGAGTTAGTATCTCACAACAGACCTGGTTGAACTCCACTGGTAACGACTCACCGGGTCGTGGATGCGCACTGCTGAGGAGTCCCACACTAGGACGAAACGGCCGTCCAGTGCTTCCAGGTTTTCCATGGTGGTCTAGCTTCAATCGACTCAGGATTTCAACCAGTGAAATTTCTAAAATCTCCACAAAACCCATTCTGATAATAATGAATTTATTTGAATTATCCTATTATTGATAGATGATATTGTGGTGTAGGAAAATTTTTGAAGACTAGTTTTTCCTAGTTGACTACAACATGTGTATACAATGCAAGCAATTCATTATTTTGGTGAATACTTCATACCTAATAACTGTTAGTCATCATGACGATATTGAAATGTTTCTAGCTATTATTATTATTGAGAAATGACTAAGTAAATGATTCTTTTAAATTAGTCTAGCGGTCACTTGAAATCTTTCATTTGAAAATAATAACAACATATTTTACTAGTAAGTATCTAGTCTATGTGACTAATGCATTATTGAAAGAAACCAGTCATCATTTCTAATGAATTAATAACCACATTTTTAACTGAAACACTATATCAGAAGGGGTTTTGTGGAGATTTTAGTAGTTTCAATTGTTGAGATCATGAGTCAGTTGAAGCTAGTTGAAGTTAGACATTAACACCGTTGGATGCCGTATCAATGGTCTAGTGGTTAAGTGCTCGCTCGAGAGACGAGCATGTCCTGGGTTCGAATCCTGTGAGGCGGGGTCGTGGATGCGCGCTGATGAGGACTTCCACAATGGGACGGAACGGTCGTCCAGTGCTTCCAGGTTTCCCATGGTGGTCTAGCTTCAATTGACTCATGATCTCAACAATCGGAATTACTAAAACATTATATATTTTCAGGTCGAACATTTATTACTTTATTAAATTTCAAGAATCGACATATACCTATACTTTACTGAATAATGTTTACAAGTTGGAAACATAAGCCCATTGTTGCTTAATAATAGAAGAATTTTATTGGGAATTTTAATGAAAGCACAAAATTGATCAATATCTGTGAACATAATAGACGATACTCTGAAATATCTAATAATCTGTACTAACTTTTAGTTTCAGTATGATCGTTAAAGCTTAAATGAACTCGGATAAACTTAACAAGTGCTATGTTGGACAAAAATTTTATCATGGATTTTAGTACTAGCCATTATGTAAAGTATAGTTACAGTAGTCTCTGTCAATTCAACTAGTCTACTAATTTCAATCGTAGACTATTGAATCTATATTCTTATTATACTTGATAAGCACACAGTAAAATTATTCGGTAATTCAATCTTTTGAAAAAATAAGAGAAAAGAAACTGTGAGTACATTTTGAGCTAGAGTATATAAAGCTTTAATTTAGTTTGTAATGGTTTGCATTATTTCGTTTTTTGATATTTTTAGATGAAATTTTTATCGATTGTAGTTGGGGTGTGTACATGTTATGTGTTTTACCTCTATATAACCATTATTTGACAAGTTCTTATAGAATGCATAGAATATTACTAATAGTAGAATCCAGGATGTGTATTTTGTGCTAATTAGGTTTCACTAGTTCAATTTACTTGTATCTCAGTGTTAATGTTCATTTCAAGATTCAAACCCAATACCTTTTTGCTTCGAATGTCCAATCACGTTATCCAGTTAGGTGCTGAGTTTAAATAGTCGCTAACCTATACAACTACAGAATAATTCAAATTATTACAAATTTAATTTAATTTCATACCTGTTTCACAAACTAGTAATTATCCCAGAGTGAACTTTAACACTAGGATACAAGTAAGTTCAACTGGTGAAACCCGAATAACACAAAACACAAATCCTTTATTCCACTGTTAACTATATCTCATTTGTTCTATATGGAACTTTCTTGAGTGACAGGGGATCTAGTGTGACTAATCAGTGACTTATCATTCTCTTGTAATGGATAAAGAAACTAGAAAAACTGATTCCATGCTTTTTTTTGTATTATGGCACATTGTCATAAGTATGATTAAATTTCAGAGACTTTTCATATTAAATTTCTCATTTATTCTATCAATGTATGATTGGTACAACTGAAACGTAACGGTGTTTTCTTTTTTAGTTCATATACATAATTTAACATAGCTTATATAATTAAGCTTAGAAAGAATGCATAATATCAGGACACCATAAACCATAAATACTACTATACAATAGTTAGTTAATATTCAGGTTTCTTCTTGTATTTAACAATTCATATAGAACCGGTTAATAGCCTAATTATAAAATATAAGTATGTTGCGTTAAAAAAAAAGTGATACTCATACTCATTTCATTATTTCATATAAGTGTTTGATGATAATATCAGTGTTTAATTTAAGATAGTTGGATAGAATCAATAGGATAGATAAAGTGTAGATCGATCTTATGATTTACAATATTTATCAACTGTTCAGATCTAACAATTCAATGATAATGTCTTTGATTTCTGTAATGAATGATATAGGTTGTAACCTGTATGATAGTATCCAGTTTCCATAAAGGCTATACATTTATCTTCATTATATATCTTGGTAAGTACAGAATCTAAATTTGATGCATCCTATCTGTTACGTTCAATCCTTCAAAAGAATAAAAGCGATCGTTTAGTATTACAACATATTATTGAATGACTATGTCTAACAAAACAGTCGACTATTCGACATTGGTTACAATTCCATGATATATTCATACAGTGCTTATCGCTATTTAAGTGATGAGATTAGTTCTTTCAATAGTATACTCACTAGTGATGATTTTGAACATAAGTAATGATAATTTTTAATTTGAAACGCATGAGTCAAATGTAAAAATCAGAATAAACATAGATATTTCAAGGCTTCGATGAATAAACCATTAACGATATATTTATTTGTTTATTATTATTAGAAGCTTTATTCAACATTATATTTTTGGTACAATATAAGATTCTCAGCACAAAGTATTTCAACAAGTTTCCTTTTCTTATATCTTGATCGATTGTGACGATAAATTTTGAATGATGACTAGTTAGATGTTAGGAATTCGGTAATCCACATTTGATTAATGCTCATTCGTTTCAATGCATATTGCCAGCCATCATGATGTCGCTGATTGTACCTTTTTGTATCCCGTATATCGAAAGGTTGTAAACTTTTCATAAACGCGCCTGGATAGATTGTGAGCACAATAGACATAATGATGTGCTAAAACAAACAAGAAAACAGATAACTTGATGAAATATCAAGATCGGAGGAACAGGTAGTCCAGATATTCAAGCAGGCCGCCACGTAATATATGACATAATAGATTATTTCCAATAAGATATTAATTTAGTAATTAGGTTATAGAATAATGAGAAGAAAAAAACAGGACTCAATTATTTAGAACAGGAAATAAGAGTAGAATAAGGTGAATGCATACATACGAGATTTAAAAAATTTCTTTGATGAAATATATGTTCCTATAAGAAATTAATAAGAAAAGATCCTTTCTTTCTCCTGTTCGATAATGAATCCAATACAAATTATAAGTAAAGTGATTCTCATGTAAATCAGTAAGTTTTCAATGACTGATAATGTAAAATAATCTTCAGAAATTTGAAAATAATTAGTAAAAGATTATTCACAATTAATTCAACCGGATCTGTTGTGAGATAGTAACTCACTGAAAATTATGGTGAATATGTCGCCCGATTTCGTGAATTAGTTGAAGTTAAACACTAACACCATTGAATACCGGCTCAGTGGTCTAAAGGTTAACGTTCGCGCGCGAAACCGATAGACCTTGTGTTTGAGTCTCGCGAGGCGGGATCATGGGAACGTACTGCTGAAGAGTCCCACAATAGGACGAAACGGCCATCCAGTGTTTCCAGGTTTTCCATGGTAGTTTAGCTTCAATCGATTCATGCTCTCGAATATTGAAATTACATAATTTTTGTCAACTATATGATAATAACATTGAAATAATGTCATAATTTAGTTTTGATAGATATATAAATGAAGGTTATTTTTTCTTTCATTTTTATCATATTCTATTATATAATATTATACATTTATTTATTTAGATACTAAACTCTCCGATCATCAAAATATATCCAAAAGAATAAGTCGATTTACAACACATCTGTTGAAAGGTAACAAATCTTCATTGGAACAAGATGATGATGTTTCAAAATCTCGATCGAAAAGTTTAACTCGATTAAAAACATGGTGGTCTAAACGTGGTTCACCGCATAAATGAAACTTGACATTTTATAATAGTAATAATGTTATTAATCCATTTATTTCCAATTCACTTTTGTTCTAAAAAGACAACCAGAAATTGTATTGATCGAAATTTACACACAAAAATGTTTTCCCAATTTTTCAACTTTATGTCTCCTCAACTATTCATCTACTATTAATTTGCTGCATTATTCTATCAGAATAACCATAGATTCAGGTAAGTAATTATTAATTTTCATTTGTGTTATCTCTTATATTTGACTTACTCAGTTGTGAGGTCGATTTTCTGTGTTTCATCTTCAAGCCTTCCTCCCAAGTTATTCGATTTTGACAACTTGGGTAGTATCACTAAACTTTGCAAGTAAATTAGTGTTACATATAGTTGAATAAACTATTGTTTATCTAATTTCGATGTTGTGTTAATTACGAACTGTTGTTATAGCTTGTGGCCTTGTATCCCTATCAATATATATAACGTAATGATACCACCAATTATAGAACAGTGATTTATCAACCGGACCAATGACGCATAAAACCCGTTTGACAAGTCTAGAGTCCTTATCGGTTCTTCATCCCGCCTAGCCCTGCCTGTTAAGTCCAGAACACAAATCTCAGACTCCGCGATGTCATTCATTTATTTCAAAAATATTGGGTTTATATGCAAACCAAACAGGCCACATCACACCATAAAATAGAAAATAACATTTGTACAAGATCTAGCCGAAAGTGACTGTGAATGTAGGAAACTGTAATTAATAAACTGAGCATAACTCAAGGACAGTAAATCGTATAATGATAGTTTATAGGTCAAAATAAAGCTTATGATAAGAGGAACATGAATATGCATAGTTTATTTACTTAATAATCATACAATAAGTATATACCGTATTGTTCCATAAATAGTTCTCAAGCATTACCATTCATAATTCTCTTCTACATGTAACAACTATGACTTCATGAAGCATAACAATTACTTTGTATTGAGATTAGTTGGTAGTTGGAGGTAGTCGACAGGAAACCCTGGACCCGGGTTTCGTGCTACTTGGCACTCGTCAGCAAGGTGTACCTGTAATCTTGAGGGAACTGGTGCTCCCTGGCGGATTCGACCCCGTATCACTCAGATTCACAGTCAGAGACGTCACCACTGAGCTATCCGAGCCGCGACTGACCTCCTGTAGGACTGAGATGTAATCACAATTGATTGATCACTGGGTGGTGATCAATGTCATGTGTGTCAAGTCCTTATTTAGTGTAGATCGAATGCTATCGACCATGTTGCAATGTGGCCACCAGTCTAGGTGACTTGACATTATGGGCACTATCTTTTGAGATTAGATGGTGGTTGGAGGTAGTCGAAAGTAATTCATCACTTCAAAAAAACTTCATTGATCAATTTGTCTACTTATCTTTACAATGTTACATTTAATGACTATATTAATCACTTGAAAAATAAATATTGTGTTATTTTGGATGGATAGAAATAGACAGTTATCTTTCTGCCAAAGTTCCTTCTTGTTCTTGGTTTCATTTGATTGGTAGATTGAGAAATAATTGATTTATTATTAAACATTTAACTTGTTCTGATTTTTTTAATAAACTAGTCAATGTATTAATTAGATAAAAATGTAATATATTTCTAATCATTTTATCTGTTGAATGGTTCGTAAGTTTATTGTTCATGTCAGTAATTAGCTACAAGAAAAATTTCAACACAAATGCTGAGAGACAATATCATTGATGACGATTGGTAACAATGGTATCATATCATAGATTTATTGATGCTAGAAATATAAAATCATATGGTATTAACTGAATAGTGTTATCCTTAAATTAAGACTTGAAGTTCCCGAGTTGACATTGATGCTGAATTACAATCTAAGATCAGTTAAATACTCTGTACTTCTTGAAATGGACTGATCTTCAAGGCAAAACTAATTTCTATAAGTCGTTTATAAGTGCTTAGATCTTCCGTTGATGGTGTTAAGGATTAAATATTGGTCATTCTGTTTTGGCATATATATATGCTGAGGAGTCCCACAATAGGACAAAACGGCTGTCCAGTGCTTCCGGGTTTTCCATGGTGGTCTAGCTTCAGTTGACTCATGAATTAAACTAATAAAAAGTACTATAATATCCAAAAAAAAGCCTTCTGATATATATATATATATATATATATATATATATGCTGAGTGGATTGACTTGAGATTGCCGTTAGGTAATTATCCATTTTTAACTAAGTTTGGTACTGGCTAATAGGCGAATCCAGGAGGCGTATTCCGTTCTATTTGAGTCTCATTAGTTGAATGTATCTACATCTTAGTGTATATGTTCACTCAAAATCTTTCACCTATTACTTTTCTATTCAAATACCCAACACTAATGATTTGATGAACTTAATAACTAAGTGGATAAAGTATTCAATATTTAAAAAGAAAATTACTTCATTCATATTCACTAATGAACATGAACTCCTAAATAGAATGTGAAATAAGTTAATTGAATTTCACTATTACTAATTAACATCTATCTCTATTCTAACATAACTTTATATTTAATAAATAAATAAAGAAATAAACTAATAAAGAGAAACATTTACACTCAACAATAAATTTACAGTATCATGATCTATCTTTACTTTTAATTCAAAGATCTATTATAAACAGAATCGTTATTATCAGATGGGTTTGGTGGCATTATAGTAATTTCAATGGTTAATATCATGAGACAGTTGAAGCTAAAACATCATGAAAAACCTAGAAGCACTGAACGGTCGTTTCGTTCTATTGTGGGACAACTCGGCAGTGCGCCTTCACGACCTCGCCCCCTGCGAGGTTCGAATCCAGGACCTACTGGATCCCCGCGCGAGCACTTAACCACTAGACCATTGAGCCGGCATCCAACGATGTTAATGTCTAACTTCAACAAATCCACAAAATTGAGCGACACATCCACCAATATCTTCAGTGAATTACTATCTCACAACAGACCTGGTTGAACTCCACTGGTCACTACTTCTCACTAGAACTCCAGAATATACCTCTTGAAGCCAGTCACTAGTGAGCATATTTTGATTAATATCAGATGGGTTTTTTAGATGTTATAGTAATTTCAATAGTTGAGATAATGAGTCAGTTGAAGCTAAACCACCATGGACAACCTGGATGCACCGGACGGTCGTTTCATCCTATTGTGGAACTCCTCGTTAATACATTCTTTCTTTTTTTCTTTTTCTTGTATTTATCTTTTTTTTAAAATTACCTCATTCATATTAATTTTGTAACGTAGACACTTTTTTATTGATTAATTCTTGAATACAAAATAAATTTTTAAAGAAAAAAATTTTTTTTCGGCGTATTAGAGAAATAGTTTTTATAAATTTTTTTTATTTTACATAATTAATAAAGTACAAATTAAAATAGTGTAAGTATATTCATCACTTTGTGTGTATGTGTGTGTATGTGTGCGTGTATGTGTGCGTGTTACCGTACAGACGTATATATATGTATGATAGGGATTTATTAGAGTTAAGTTAAATATCACGAGTACGCATAATTAATATTACCAATGTCTTTTATTGAGTAGACAGATCATGTGAAAATCGATTAATCACTTTAGTTTCTTTTTCTTTTTTTTTTGTTTTTTTCTCTAGTATTTTATGTATGAATTATACATGTAAAGTTAATTTAGTTCATTCATAAAATATTATAACGTTTAACTTGGATACAATTTTTTTTCCTTTTTTAGAAATGTCATAGACAATTTGTTATTAAATTCACCCCATTGTACAAACAAATGACTGGCAACACTTAGTATCTAAGTGAATAACGTGATGATGTTTGAAGTGAACGGTATTGATTTCCAGTCTCAAAATGAACATTAACTCTGAGATACAGGTACATTAAAATGATGAGTCCTAAATAGGACGAAACACTTGTCCTGTATTCCACTACTAGGCACTATTCATCTTTGTTAATTTGTTAATAAATTGTTCGACTGCAACAATTCAAATAACTCAGTGAAAGAATACTTTGATTATGATATTTAGCGATCCAGATCTAGATCTTATAGATTGTATCAAATCTCTTAAGAGTACAGATGTATTCTGTTACTGATAAATACAGACTAGCACAAAGTTTAAGTGAATGGTTCCCCTCCTAAGAATATTTCTTATCATCTAACGGTCACATTACAACTCGATCATTGAACTTTAGACAGAATAATGAAGTATACAAGTATGTGATTACTATTTAGTAAACAAATAGTCTATAACGTGGAAGCACTGGACGGCCGTTTCGTCCTAGAATGGGACTCCTCAGCAGTGCGCATCCACGATCCCGCACCACGCGGGGCTCGAACCCAGGACCTACTGGCTTCGCGCGCGAGCACTTAACCACTAGACCACTGAGCCGGCATCCAACGATGTTAATGTCTAACTTCAACCAATCCACGAAGTTGCGCCACCGTACACCATTGTCTTCAGTGAGTTCCTATCTCACAACAGACCTGGTTGAACTCCACTGGTAACGGCTTCTCACTAGAACTTCGGGAGTTTTTCCTGAAGTCAGTCACTAGTGAGCAGTTGATTATTATCAGAATGGGTTTTGTGGAGATTTTACAAATTTCACAGATTGAAATCATGAGTCCAGTGCTTCCAGGTTTTCAATGGTGGTCTAGCTTCAACTGACTCATGATTTCAATCTGTGAAATTTGTAAAATCTCCACAAAACCCATTCTGAAAATAGTCTATAAATTAAGTTTAAATAACTATTCCTTCTACTGGTAGAATAGTTTCGTTGGTTCATGATAAAGAATCTCACCAAATTTTATTGAAATCGATAAATTGTTATTTGTGTATAAATTTCACAGAGATTTAACGTATTACTATTTCGAAATCATCATAACTTCAGATGTTGTTAAAATCTAGATGATTTCAAACGTTTCTTCTATAAAATTAGTTCTAGATTTCTTAAGGAAATAAATAAAAATCTAATTATATTCCTTTGAAGAAATTCAAAC